TAAACCCTGTTCGGAAAATCGACTCCGTTCCGAACATTTTTTTGGACAATGCCTACAATAACTGTACAAACTTTTTTATAGGGTATTAGGTAATGTGTAACGTGAAAAGGATAATGAGCTTGTATAATTTGTAGTGAAATTTTGATGCATGGAGAATTTTAAGATTAAGATGTATGATATTTTATTTTTTTATAATTACCGTACAGTGTTGCATATAGTACCCTGGTATTTTACAAAAAAGCCGGCCTAAATTAAATAATACCCCAAGTATTGGGAGATGGGAGAATAATACAAATAATCGTTGCTGATCAATATATATTTTGCTATTAGACAGATCAAATCCAACGAAAAGATCGCACATTAATTATGAAAATTGGGCCACAAATCGCTTGTCAAAAAAAATGAGGGATATTATTGCAGGGGTGCACTATACGGCAATGATGGTGATATGGTATTTAAGTAATGTTAGGAGAGGAAAAGAAAAGGGACAGGAAGAAGAGAAGAATGAAATTTTAATGTTGGTTATTGGTTGTTAATCCTTTTCTATTTATTTCCACGAGTCTAGCATATTCTAATACTACATTTCTATCAGTTTTCATTGAGTTGAAGTTGAAGGTGAGAATGTTGAGAGGAGGTGGCTCCGCTCATAGTGACATAGGCTTGAACAGGGGCGAATATGCCTAACTATGTGAAATGATAATAACGCAGATTATGAAAAGTAATGTTTGAATTGATTATTGTATAACTGTGAAATTTTTTTATTGTCGTTCATTACTTTAATTATTTATAAAAGCTGAGTCAGTATTTGGTAATGTTCGAGAATTTAATAAATATAGTTAAGTGTATAGGGTCGGTTTAATTAAAAAAAAAGGAATTTCGAGTTACTAAGGCTAAGTTTTGATTTATTTTTATTATTAGTGAGTAATTTTTTTGTTAATAGTAATCTTATGATCAGAATTTAAGCTCTGAGCGAAGAGTTATTATAATTTTAGATTAGAGATGGGCAAAATGGTACTTTTGCTTACTATGCATGCGCATGACATGCTGCATGCATGCATGTTATATGCAGCATAGTTAAAATTATAACGAACATCTTTAGACCAGATTCGCTGGTTTAATGGAAAATTGCAAAGAACCAAATTTTTAATTTATAAATAATTTATAATGGTTATAATGGTTATAACGGATAATAATAAAAAAAGCTATATAACAGAATTTCTTTTAAGCAAAATTTCCGTTATATAGATAGTTGGCTGTAAATGAGAAATGAATAGTCAAATACTTAGTGATCATTATATTCACAGGTCAGATCAATTATAGTTGGTAGTTAAATTACTGAATTACGGCATTACGGCATTTTTAACTATGGTATTACCATAGTATTTAATTGCCATTGTTACTATTGTTTGGGAGAGCGATAATAATATATGGGCAATTTAGCTCCAATAGTAAACTTGAAAGAGCTTATATGTATTGTTCGTCACGACTTTCAAACACGTGAGGCTTGTTAATTTGGGCCTCGATTTACGTAGATCAAGATCGGGCTCTTACTAAATTGATCCAAGGTTGGGTTATGCACGTAATTTAAGGCTGGCGTGATATCGTTAAGGTATTTTTGAGACAATGTAATGAATCTATATTGGGTAAATGGGCGAATAGCTTATGATAATACGATTATTTGTGGTTAACAATGGTAATTGTTTTAGGGTCATAGGTTAAAGACTAGGTGTCACGGAGTTTCCTGGTACTACCGTGTATTGGTGGGTCTTTCCTAACAGTCTTTACCCGCTTGGCTATTATCTTCGTTGACCGTGTATCGTACAGGTCCTTCCACCGATTTTGTATACACACAGGTAATGGTTTTTCACTAAGATTGTTTTTTACACTAAGCAAACAAAGCTTGAAAGCTTGGTCCTCTCCCTTTCGGGATCGATACCTTATATATTATTACTAATCGCTATTCAGCGTCACTGATTATTACATATTACCTCATCGCTCATGCAATCAATGCTTTAAACTTTTAATTAATTCCCATGCATACCCGAATCACGCCATTCATGCAAATTGGATCATGATCCCTTGCGCTACGAATACCCAGGGCACCAATGTCGACCACGACACTAGGTAACGGATAATAACAATGCAAAAAGAAATAAAATAAAAAAATAAGTTGTTCAATAACAACATTCAATAAACAGTTTTTCAATAAATATGGGAATTCGATTCTGATTTCTACTTTATCCAAGATATCAAAGTCTGAGAGAAATTTTATTAAGGACAACTTGGGCTTTAAATACATTTTAATTTCCTATTACTGCAACGTTTTATAATAGTCTTCACCTCCTTCTATGATTCTTTCTTACTTCCGCGGCTATGGCTAACTTTCGCTACTAAACCCTTTGTCTACAATTGTATTCACTTGGCCACATTTACTCACAATTGCCAGCAGTCGCTCACAATTGTTTGCGACCGATTCACAATTACTCACAATTGTTGACAACCGTCCACAATTGTTACCCGCCATTTTCCTCTCGTAAATAGATAAATAAAAGATAAAATATATATAACAAAAATAATAAATAAATAAATAAAAATATAATAAAAAAAAATCTAAGCTCTATTTCTTATGTCATGAAACCCGTGACACCATAAATATTACATACCGTGATACTGTAAAATCATAACTAGTACTTTAATACAGTAATACTGCGATACTGTATTACAGTATATGTAATGTAATAATACTATAATATTATAAAACCAGGAATGGATATAAATATAATGCCACTAACACTTAACAAGGTAAAGTCTCACACTTATGCAGTGAGCCAGATAAGGGTAATTTTTTGAAGAGTAAAAGATTTGAAAATTTGCATTTATCTAATAATAAATAATTATACAGTATTAGCATAGTAAACATATTGTGAATGCTCTGCATATTAAGCATACTATGAGAGCACAGAAATTGATAATAAAAGAAAATACTAAGTATGTGTATACGGGACAGTGCATTATACAGCATATAATGCTATACGTATAAAAAAAAACACGGATCCCATGAAACACTACTCATATTAATGTTATACTGTATGTCATTTATTGATCATGTCAATTCGGAATCAACATGTATTGTTTTTGAATTTTCACTGATTAATGAATAATCTATTGGAGTGCGTGTTGTACTCTGTAAATGCAATCAATTTTATAATACAGGTAATAATATTAGAATTTTTGGTTTGATAGTTTTGGATAAATTTTGCAACGTCTCTACAACAAAGCTATAGAGCAAATTCTTTTTTCTTCCTACCTTTTTTTTTAAGAAAAAAAAATTCATAGCATGTTTAAACTTTTTATATTTAATAAAAGAACTGGCTCTATAACTTTATCTGTGGGAATGTAATACTGGTCTAATTTTATCCAAAACTATCAAACCGTTAGGTTGTGTATCTATTTAAAATTTTAATAATTATTGT